AAAATAACCTACTGCAGCTTTAATTAGCATCCAAGCAGGTATGAGACTGTGTTTTCGAGCCAGTGATGGGATGTCAGGTCTTTAGGTCTGAATTTTTATTAATGCAATAGGACTCCAGAAGAAATTAAAAAGAGATGGAGTGTAGAGAGAGAGAGCGAGCAATAGAGAAGGATCAGGTCTTCCAGAAGCTCCAGAGTGCAGGTGTAGGGCGTAGATGGTACGCAGCTGATGGCTCACAAGAACCGCATATTGGGTGACCTTAGTGAATCCAGCAGATTACATAATCAACCGGCATTAACATCTCCCCCCCCCTCTTTTTTTGTGTGTGACCCTCTCGTGTGTATGTGCACTTTACAAATGCAAATGCCTCACATCTGCGGCTGTACAGCTGGTAAAAATGCCTCAGTATATCTAGCCCTTAGTGCTTTTTATATATATTTATTTATACACATTTGTGAGGCCTACAACATTCTCAAAGAAAGCAGTAATATCACACCCACTGCCATTTCTATGGCAACAGTTGCTATAGTCAAATATCCAGTGAGCAAGCACACTGTGTACAAGCAAACATACATACACATCACCAACACTGACAGATACAGTACATATCAACAAATGCAGCTATACCAGGGCCTGAGAGGCCTAGGTTCCTGTCGTGAAGAGGAAATGTTTTATGGCTGAGAGTGCAAAAACAGGCAGTGACTCAGTGATATAGAAAGGGGAGGAAAAAAACAAAGACAGGAAAACAATTAACATAGTACGACTTTGTAGTAATGTCTAATTTTCTACATTGTAATTCTAATTATAGTCCGGAAGTTAACCTTCTCCTCTTAAGTCACACCATTCCACACACAAGTGGTTGTCGTTTTAAAACACTGTGTGGTTGGCAGGACCTGAAGTCAGTCAGATGCCATGGCCTGATGTCACTGTCTTCGATGTTACTCTTAAAGATGAACATAGTGGCAACTCACCCGCAGGTTAATCTCCCTCATCCTCTCCTGTCGCAGCTTCGACAGATTGGCAACTCTGGACATTGTGGCAGCAGTATTATTCTCACAATGACAGATTCAAACGGTGGCCAGCGAGTCAGAAGATATAATATCCAGTATCAACGTCCGTGTGCTTCGCTGTGGGTCCCTCAGATCCCTGTCGAAGAGGAAAAAACTAAAAGTCTTTCCTCACTGGCCAACTGCAATGTGCTTCTGCTTCTAGTGAAGTGGCTGTTCCTGTGAGAAATCTGACTTCTGAATCATCACCGCCCCCTCACACACACACATGCATGCACACAGTGTTCAGCTGTCTGTGAATGCTTGGTATAGACTATTATTTGCTCTTTGCTACAGCCTAATATCAAACCATTTACAAGATGCTAGAATATTAATGTAGCTATTCACACAGAGACAAGAGAAAAAGTTACAGGCTTGTATCACCTTATCAAATCATTAATAGCACAGGATGAGAGCAGGATGTGATGACCTGATAGAAACTGCAACTATATCTGCAATTATTCAGCTCCTATATTTAGTAGGTGAGCAGCTTTTTTTTATAAAAATGTGGTCCCTGTTGTACAGCCATTACTTTTCAGGGTGTCACTGTAATATAATTCTATAATGCAATTGGTTCAAGGGCGTAACCACTGTATAGACATTGTAGGGGTCCAAATGAGAGCCCTCGAACAGAATTAAGGGCATTTCCCACATTTCTATATATTTATGAAAATGTTCACATTAAGAACATAGTTTTGAGGACTATATT